TTTTTTTTTTTTTTTTGTTTACATCCCCAGAAAAGCTTTCCTGGGACCCTGCCCTTCTCCCAGTACCTTTTTGCTTCGGCTTAATATTTCACCTTCCCTTTAACCACTTGCTGCCAGGCTGAAACCTCCAAACCCAGAAGCTTTTCCCATTTACCCAGCCTGACAGTGGGCGATGAATAACAATGACCGAGGGTGGGCAGCTCTCCCCCCTCTCCTGCACTCTCCAATATTAACACAATTCGCCTGGGGAGGCATTTTCAAGATTAAAAGCGCTGGGGACATCCCGTGCTGGAGCACTGCTTGTTCCAGAGGGAAGGACAATGAGCTTTGGAGCAAAAAGCATGCAGCGACCCGGTGGTTGACGGCGAGATGACTTTTGGCTGGAGTTAAGGGAAAGCACAGGGGAAAGGACAAATGCAAACTGATACTCCAACCTGGAGGATTTTTTTTTTTTGTCTCTCAAATACCAGCGCAGGGGAGGAGCCTTTGGAGCACTGGTAGGCATGGTGACAACAGCAGTGTCACCGGATGGCTCCTGCCACCACCACCAGGTCCCAAAGCACAGGCTTGCAGCTCAACTGTAAGACCATCGAGCAGTTTCCATGCACCCTATGGCACTAAGATATTACTTTTTTTCACTGATGGGATTAGCAAAGCTGCCACAATTTACAGGGAAAAGGGTTGGGAGGCACGCGGTGCATCCTGATCAAACTCCACCATGTGCACCGTGGAGCTACCAACCACCCTGAGCCAGTTCCAGTGATGACAACCACCGAGAAGCCACAATAAACCGATCCAGGCTGGGAGTTTACTGGGAAGATCCCACCCTTGGGAACCTCTTCCCTTGCTGTAAGACCGGTCAACTGCAAACCAAGACCCTCATTGGGTCAGGGACCACCAGGATGGAAGAGAAACACAACCACCATGGGGCTCATGAAACTGGGAAAACCAATTCCCACCATCCACAAGCAATTCTTCCATCCCTGTAACTCCCTCAAGGGTGCCACCAAAGATGCTCTTGGTTCCTTCATCCTTCCACTAGTGCCTGGACCCATCGCTGCCCTCCAAGCCCCTCTGCCTGGTTTATCCCCCAAAAGAAGGATGCGACCACTAAACCCTACTGCTTTTCAACCAAAGGTAACCTCTGCACTAAATTCAGGATTTTCTTCTAATCAGGAAGACCCATTATCTACCCCCGCCACGTTTATTTAGGCAATTACATAGTTTAATGTACATTGATTCAGATTCTTAATTTTTACATTTTTGATTATGGTAAAAAACCACCGAGTGACGCATTTCTTATTTGCTTGGCGCTCTTTTTTTTTTTTTTTCCTTTCGCAATGTGCCAGGCTGCATGCGAATGGAAATTTGAAGTCAATTAAAGAAGTGCAAAACCAGCATTTTAAAATCTTTTTTATTAGTTAAACACAGCTACCTTCAATGCATCGGCTAGAGCAGGGTAGGGAAAAAAAAAACCAACCCAAAAAGCAAAAAAAAGTGAGCTTATCCAGACATGTTTTGCATTTAAAACCGACGGGATACATGAAAGAAATGTTAAGCGTAGCAAACTGACAAATTAGTATCTTGTTCCTGACAAGCAGGAGCAAACTTGTGTCGATGGTTGAGGAGCTGGGTGGGAATTTAAAGCCAGGGGAAGGCAGAGACCCATCACAGCATCTCTAGATGCTGGGACCTCTCGACCTCCAGCCGTGGTTTCTCTAGACCCTAGGGACAGCTGCCTACAGCAATGTCTACGCCGCTACGGGTTGCATCGCCATCAGGAGAGCCACCATGAGATGGTTAAAGCCAAGGAGAGACGTCCTGTCCTCTCCCACTCATTTCTTCACCCCTCCTGCACCTAATAGGAGCTGACCACCCATGCATGGCCACCAACAACCCCTCAGCAGAGCAGATCCTGGGGGCACCCAGTCACCACCAACCCCTTGATAGAGCAGATCCTGGAGGTACCGTGTCACCAACAACCCTTCGGTAGAGTAGATCTGGGGAGCATCAGGTCACCAACCCCTTGATAGAGCAGATGCTGGAGGCACCATGTCACCAGCAACCCCTCGGTAGAGCAGATCCTGGGGGCACCAGGTCACCACCAACCCCTTGGTAGAGTAGATCTGGGGAGCATCAGGTCACCAACCCCTCAGTAGAGCAGATCCTGGAGGCACCATGTCACCAGCAACCCCTCAGTAGAGCAGATCCTGGAGGCACCATGTCACCAGCAACCCCTCAGTAGAGCAGATCCTGGAGGCACCATGTCACCAGCAACCCCTCAGTAGAGCAGATCCTGGAGGCACCATGTCACCAGCAACCCCTCAGTAGAGCAGATCCTGGAGGCACCATGTCACCACCAACCCCTCAGTAGAGCAGATCCTGGAGGCACCATGTCACCAGCAACCCCTCAGCAGAGCAGATCCTGGAGGCACCATGTCACCACCAACCCCTTGGTAGAGCCAATCCTGGGGGCACCAACCTCAACCTTTCTCCACTCTGGTTTGCAACCAGGAGTAACCCACTTGTATAGACCAGGATCTGCACCCAAGCTACAGAACCTCATTTACAAGCAAACATTAACGAACCGGGGCTCAACACGACCCCGTCGCTTGCTTGCCCGGTGCCAAGGGGACATTTCTTGGCAGCATCCACGCGGCACCGCTCCGGGAACGTCTGCCAGCTCCTTGCGAGCGCGGAGAGGTCAGTGCTAATGAAAGATGCTATCGCCGTGCCGGCGTCCGGCCAGACAAATGTAATTAGTGGTATTTGCAGAAGACAAAACTCGGTGAGGATGGGGGGGATGGGAGCACATCCCCTTGTGCTCGTTTTGGGGAAAAAACACGGCCATTTGGAGGCTTTCCAAGCTAGAATAACAGCCTCGCCAATGACTGTTTAATTAAAACCCGTGTGGCATTCGAAGGGAAAAGGGCTGCGAGTGAATACGCGCGGTGATAAAATATGCATCGGCTCTGGCGTAAGTCCTCCTTCCCCAGCACAAGCCTTTGCTTAAACCGTCGCTGGTTTTTGATTCACAAGCTCCAGCGAGGAAGGAACAGTTGCCAGCCGCTATTTCAATCCCGCTGGGAGGTTTTTTTCTGAGGGTTATAGCCACGCTGTAGTTTAGGATGTGTCAGCACTGGCATCATAAAGACAGATCAGAAACACTATAAAAGG